GATAGGGGCGGTGCGCGGCGCTCACGTCACAATCGCTGCCTCCTGGCGTTCTGGCCCGCTGCACGGGGCAAGGAGCGACCGCATTCCCGGGTCTGGTTGCTCGGACGGAGGCGGTTCTTCGGCTCTCGTCAGCGTGTGCCCCGCCGCCCGCCTCCTTACCGGGTAGTGCCAGGTGTGGAGTGCTAACAGTGCGGTCTTCACTAGGCCCAGCCCGACAACACCGGTTTAGGTTCCACGTCTTGCGGGGGCGACTGTGCTGCTCGCCTCGCTCGAGTTAGTTCCTCTCTCCGTAGGCCTGGTGTTCAGTCTCATCACCCCGGAAAACAAACGACGTCGTAACCTGTGCAGCGAGTACGACGAGGCGGCAGAAACAGGCCTGGCATTGGCAGGAGTTCAGACGGAGCCCGGGTCGAAGGCGCCATCGGGCGTCGCGTCTCCCTGGTCCGGAGCCTCTTCCCGACTTCGAAGGAGGGTAGTACGGCTAGGCACTGTAGGGTGGGCGGATCCTTCAACCGGAGCCCCTTTCCAGCACCCTGGGAGGCTGTTGGGTCTGTCAGGTTTACAGCAAGGGACCAGCCGAAGTCCGCAGGGCAAATCTGAAGTCAGATGAACCACTGGCTGAGTGCGAGTTTTCTAATCACAGCAGCACACAGGGCAGAACGTGCTATACTCCTTGAGGGCGAGAAAAGGGCTGAGCGGACAGGCGGCCCCGCTGGAAGTTTCGCTGCTCCACGCGCTCCGCCTGGAAGCCCTCTGCCCTCCCGCTGGCGCCACTAGGAGCACTGCAGAGGCCATGGCACCAAAATGACTGAAATTGTTGTGCAGTGTTCAGCAGAAATTTGTTACTTTAAATAAACATCTCTTAATTCGTGATAACAACAGTTTTTGTAAGCCAGGCTTATATGCATCAGTAAACTTGCAAGCCTAAACCTATGCTAATTTACCTAGAGTATGGTGGTAATTGGCATACCAGGGATGGGAAAATTGCTAGTTAGGTAAAAGACAAGTATTGATTTAGATGAAGAAAAAGGCAATAAACCAAAAGTGAGTGGCCACCATAGTAACACTGAGGAAGAGGAAGACACACAGAGGTGCATAGGAGGTACAGACAACAAAGATAAACCCTTTTACGCACACAAAACTGATTATCAGTGATAAACATTAATCTACGGGTAAACAGACGGGTGGACAGGATGAATGATCAGCTGTGTCTAGGCAAAAGGGAGTATGCCTATGACCACATACAAGTCTGGCAGATGATTATTTCTACATACGTATTTGTAATAGAGCCGATATAATAGAGTTGATGGGGCAAAGTGACAACAATGTCTTAGTCACAGCAAACACCCTGAGGGAGGGAGTCACTGGCCCTGGGCTTGGGACCATGGTTGCAGGGGACATCAAACTACACTGAAACATCGTCTTACATCCTACTTTAGTGGGTAGTGACGGGTCTGCTTGTGAGCAGACATCTAAGATGCAACTATTGGTGTCTCTCTGAAGCAAAGAAGAGTGAGGAAAATCAGATACGTGCAAACAGTTCAAGGGACTCACGGACCATGCAAACCTCAGCCCACATGACCACGAGACGAGAACTAGATGGTGCCTGGCTATGACTGTCAACCACTTGGAAAAGGATCAGTGCAGATCGTGGATAGAAAAAAAATGAACAAAATGCAAAATCATAAAAAAGAACAGGCTTACTGGTCTGAGACTGGCGAAACCCCTGAGACTATGGCCCCTACCCATCTTTTAGGCCTGAAAATGAACTCCCTCCCTTGGCTTTCAGCCAAACAATAGGGGTGTAAGGTAACATTTCCACCAGGTAGGTATTCTTGCAACAATCAACCATGGGAGATCAGATGGGCAGCATAGGCAGATAAAAGGCAGGAATGCATAGGAAAGAAGGACAAAGGGAAGGGGCAACCACAGGGAGGAAATGGGAAAAGAGCTGTGACATTGTGGTGGTTTGCAACTGATGTCATGAAACTATGTGTATGAACGGCTGTGTGGAAAATGAATTTGCTCTGTAAACTTTCACCCAAATGACGATTTAAAAACAAAAAAACACCACCACCACCACAAAAAACCCAGCTATAATAGAAATCAGCGTATGTCATGGGTCAGCAACTCACAGGCCATGGTGGGCCTCACAATGTGATTTTATAGTTTTACTGGCCCACAGCTATGCCCATTAGGTCATGTGACATCAGAACTGTCTTCTGTATGGCACTTTGTAGAGGAAGCCGCCAGCCCGTGGTACTGGTTCCTACTGTCGACATGGGGTAAGACCCAAGTTGTGTGGGGTGCCATTCAGATGTAGTCTCTATCTTGATCATTTTCCCCTTTCAGTAAAGGGCTGAGTTCCCCAATATGTGGTATATTTTTAAAACTCTTAAAAATCGGTCAGAAAAAGCCCACAGCCCCAATAGAAGAGCAGGAGGAAATGAACAGCCCAGAGAAGCAGCCAAGGGCTATGTACGCTTATGCTCGGCCTCAGTCATAATAACAGAAACCCAGATGCAATCACACCGAGAAACCTCTTCACCTCACAGGTCCACAGACTCAAGTCTGTGCAAGACAATTCACGAGCCATTTTCATCTATCAGCGGTCCACCAGGCGCACTCTCCACTGGGTGCACGGGACAGTACCCATTAGTTACAGATGCCCATGCCCACGTGGCCTGAAGTTATCTGCAGGAATTTAAGCTACAGGTAACACTCATGTGTGGAAAGTACAGCATGTGCTGAGGCTGATTACAGCCTTGTCTGTCATCTGACAAAACAGAAACCAAAATCTGCTAACTGGGGACTGGTTAAATCCATGTGGTAGGCCCATGTGCACAACAGCAAACCCTGAGGCTGTTAAGGAAGAAAAGGGGAGGGAGTCTTTCAGTGACAGGAAACCACTGGTGAGACAGGAGACCACAGGCGATGACATTAGACGAGATCAGAGATGATATGATGAGACCACTGTGATGACACCATGGATGCTGTGAGCCACAGGTGACATGACATCAGATACATGACAGCATAGCTGACACATGACATCACAGATAATCTGAGAAGCCACAGGTGACATGAGTAGTCAACAGATACAGGAGAGCATAGGTGATACATGACATCATAGGTCACGACATCATGGATGACAGAATGCTATGAGCCACAGGTGACATGGTATGACATCATAGATAAGAGAGCATAGCTGACCAATGACATCACAGATGATGAGAGACCACAGGTGACATGATGATAATCACAGATGATAACTGGAGCAAACCAAGGAGCTCAACACTGATGCTGACGCTACCACATGTGTAATTACAGGGAGAGGAAAATGCATTTTTGCTTCGTATGCACATGCTCTGGAGGGAAAAGCCCTGTGCACTGGCCGCCCTGAGAATGAACAAATGGGCAGAGGTAGGGCTCTTCAGATGCTCTCCTAACCCAGGCTGGAGCCGAATCCATGCGGCAGATGCCACGTGCCCCAGGTGGGTGTTGAGACCACCGTCTCTCTAGGGGGTCTGCCGTGTTCACGGCACTCTTTAAACCTACTGAGCTGTCCCCAGGGCTCATTGAGACTCTCCTGACAGAGGTCTTTCCTGACCCTCTGCCTATAGCCCGCCTTCCCTCAGCATCACTGCTCACCTGCTCCCATCCCTGCTCCCCTCACTGACAGCCACCCATCCCCATGGTGTCAGCTCCTGGAGGAGGTGTGGTATAGTAAATGACTTAGTGTGGCTTTTCTAGCTATAAGTCTCTGTGAACTCCGTGGTAGAACTGGCCATGAGCAACCAAGTAGCTCCCGATTGTTAGTTACCCACCTGGGGTATCTCTGTTGGGGGCAGCATGAAGTAATTTTCTGGGAAGTTCACGCTCTCTCAGGTGTATGGAATTCTGATGTTGGGATCAGTTAGTTTGGCCACTCTGCCAGCCTCAAAAGAAGGTCTGTTAGAGGCAGAAGGAGTCTGACTGCTGGCTGAGCAAGATGTGCTGCTGAGAGAAATGTGTTGCTGAGAAAGAGACATCAAGAGACACGCGCTGCTGGGGAGAGACTGAATGTTGTTCCTGAACTTGAATTGTAGGCTAGTGCTTCCCTAATAAACCCCATAACCTGTGAGTTCTGTGTGGCCACTGCAGCTAATTATCGAACCCAGCAGAGAGGTGGTGGGTGCTGCAGGAGGAACAGTTAGTGTCAAGATTGGTAAAAGAGCTGGAGGGAGGCAGCATGTCTGGCCTCGCAGGAATAGGCCTTCGGCTGCTGATGGTGATTCTGTCTTCCTCTTGTGGGGTTAGAGGAGGTCGGAAGATGCAATCTCCTTGCCTCTTTGGCAGGAGGTCTTGCCTTTGCCCGGCCATGTGCTCCGAGTGCCATCCCTCACATGCAGTGGTTGTGAGTAATCACTGATGGGTGGCTAAGGGCACTAGATCACGTTGTGAGCTCTGCTCTGATTACTTTGTATGAATCATTACAATGCCGTGAGACCAGCCCCAGGTAGAACCCTAAGGGATGGCTGGAAAGTGAGCCGGTGCTGGCAGCTGCCAATGTCAGGAAGAGATACACAGTGACAGGGATATGCCATTTCCTCCCCTTCCCCCTGCTTCACCCCATCAGGCAGCTCTTCACCTGAATGCACTCAGGTCACCTGGTTGGAAAAGTTGGTCAACCCATGGCCTGCAGGCTCTGGGGAGCAGGAGCCACGTCAACACCACGACCAATGGCAGAAAGACCTGTGGCTTATTTGCCCTCTACCCCCTACCCCCATGGGTAGAAACAAACAAATTGAGAAAAGAAATACATTGTTTATTATCCATTTGAAACATCCCATGCACTTTTAAAAATTAAAACTCTTTATTTAAATGTCTCAATAGCATCTCCATTTGGTGGCAGCAAAAGAAACACTACCAAAGACAAGTATCTTGAAAAGCATTTACAAAAATACATTGCACAAAGTCCTATCTTGCATCTTTAAAAATAAATTAATATTCAAAATATTTCCACCCCAACCCCCGAGTTTAATTTTATAGGAAACTTTCATTTATGTATTTAACCTAGAATATATGAAACACCTGTACACTTCTCAGCCAACTTAACTGCACAAGCACCAACCCTAATTCTCAGAGGAGCAAAGACAATGCTGTTTTTATGTGGTTCTTCATGTTTGAGGACTCAGAAAGCCAGGCAGCACTGTCATCTGAATTGTGTCTGAGAACATACCTACCATACACCAAAACTGCCATAATCCAAAACAAATCCTTTTAAAGATAAACATCGGTAACACCTGAAGTGCCTTGCAGCTAGCTCATTTATAAAACCTGTTGAGTGAAGTCATCCAAACGTCAGTCATGACAAGAATGGTTTTCAACAGAACCAGGGGAGAGTGGCTGGCAGTCCCAGGAGGAGGCAGGTCCTGATTGGAGCTGGGAGAAAATTCTGCTGTAAGAAAAAGGACCATCCTAAGAGGAATGGCTCCATGTATTTGCAACAGTGGGCAGGACTCCAGAGAACCCTCAGTGGAGTGAAACCTAGCCTTGAGAACTTTAGAGCAGGGCAAATTACCCTTGCACCAAAATGCAAAACAAACCTGGAAAAACCAAACGATGAGATTCTTGGTTCCCACCCATCCTTAGAAGTAGAAACTCTGGGGTAATCCCAACAGGACCATGACATCATGTTTCCACCTGACCACAACCTTCACACACTCAACCTACAGTGCAGAGCCCCATCTCCACGCTAGACCCTCATCAACCTATAGCAAAGACAGAGCCCCATCTCCACAATGGACTCTCATCAACCTACAGTGAACATGGAGCCCCGGCCCCACACCAGATCCCCGTAACCTGCTGTGAAGACGGAGCCCCATCTCCACACTGGAACCCTGTAACCTACAGCAAAGATGGAGCCCTATCTCCACACCAGACCCCATAACCTACAGTGAAGACAGAGCCTGTCCTCTGGACAGGCATAGAACACCTTCTCAGAAGCCAGCACAATCTAAGCCGAGAAACAACCCTTGGCCACTCCCACCTGGTGGCATAAAATGACGATTACTGCCAGACAGAGAACAGCCCCGCACCAAGGAAAGATGCGTAAGAGCTGAAATCTGGTGACCCTCCTTCTCCCTGAAGGAAGGATTAACAGGTGGAACACACTTGCCCCCCCACTCCCTTGGAAAGTCTAGTGAAAGGCTAAATGAGAAAGCTGTGAAAACACGTCAAACCTTCCAACCTCTTCTGCCTTGTTCCTGATGTGAAAAAGGACAAATACAAAAAGAGCTTTGTGTCCAACGCCCAACCCCACAACAAACCCAGTGTCTCTGACACCAAACACCCAGATGAATGACCACAGAGGCAGCTGTCACCAGGGGCTCTGTGGACAAAGCACCAGCACTCGGTGTCCCAGCCTGGGGGTCACTGACACAAAGCAGACACGACCGTGAGATGGGCACCAGACCACGCCTGGTCTTCTGGGGGGTCTGGGAACGTTTATTCAGGTGGCTGTGTCCTGTGGCCGTACACACACACAGGGAAGTGGCAGGGCATCTACTTGATGGGCTCTCCGTGAACCCTGAACCGGTAGAGACACGTGTATTCCGGATGGCCCCAGTTAGAGGAGATCTGAAGTTCCACAATTTGGAAAGTTTGTTCAGGTCTTTTCTGAAATCAAGGAGAAAACAAGTCACACTTATTTTCTATTAATAACCAAGGCCGTGACTTTCCCGACTATGGGCCTGGACAGGAGACAGACAGCTAGAGGTGAGATTCTTCAGACCAAGTCCTGCTTGGTCACAGGGCAGGAGCTCAGGAGCCCATGAGAGCTCACTGCTGGCCACAGACTCATGCGGTGTCAACACACAGGACACATGTACCACAGCAAAAGTCCACACTAAAGAGACTTGGAGGAAAACAGCTAGAAAGGTCAGGCCAGTTTCTCCCCATAGGGTGGTCCTCTGGCTACCCTGACATGCGTGCTGGTGTGGTCCTCTTGGCAGGAGGGGGCTGGGGCCTTACCAGCACCTGGAACATCTGCAGCGACTCCCCATCTTGGTCATACGTGAACTGTCCCAAAAGCAGCCCTTCTTCCTGATGTTCACTGTCCAGTCCCTGGAACCAGGCCACACAGTCACAACACCAAGGTAATAGAGTTAGGGTCACCGAGCCGCTGTTGCAGTGCTAATGCCCTGTCTGGAAGGTCTGATTCATGCTAAGCACCCTGGTACCTGCTTCCTATCTATTCCCCACACAACACTGACAACAGCCCCATGAGGCCTCATAGCTCCATGACACAGACAAGGCAAACTGAGGCTGGAAGAGGATAAGCTCATGGCCAGCAGGGACGAGACGAGATGTCTGTCTCCAAAGACCTAGAACGCATAGCTCCTCTCCATTCACCTCCATGTGTCCAGGCCTGAGGGACATGCATGTGGTCATGAGATGATCGACCGGGCTGAAGGACATGCACATGGACACGAGACCATTGGCCAAGGCTGAGGGACATGCATATGGATATGAGACCATCGGCCAGGCCTGAGGGACACATATGCAGACACAAGACCATTCGCTGTGCTTGAGGAACATGCACATGGACATGAGACCACTGGGTGTGCCTGAGGAACACACACATGGACACGAGACTATCAGCCAAGGCTGAGGGAAATGCATGTGGACATGAGACCACTGGCTGTGCCTGAGGGACACACATGCAGACACAAGACCATTCGCTGTGCCCGAAGAACATGCACATGGACACGAGACTATCAGTCAAGGCTGAGGGACATGCACACAGACACGAGTGTGGATGGAGAATTTAAGTGCCATGGAAAAACACTTATGGTAAAGATGTGTCTCTTAATCACATCTCTATTTTACAAAAGGAAAAAAGACCGGAAAATACACAATATTAATAGTGGCATTCACTGGGATTAGGAGGGCTCTTTTCCCAATTTCTTTATTCTTTTCTGTAAATCCTACAAATCAAAAAACAAAACGTCCTTTTCCTTTTGTCATCTGGTTGCTTCCATGCCATGAGTTGTGCGAACATGGTCTACGCTGAACAGAGCAGAGTGCCGAAGGAGTCAAACTCCTGGTCAGGCAAGGCAAACCGGGTCCCTCAGCACTGCAGACCAACTGGGCTTTGATTAACATACTACTGCTTGTAAGCTGCCATCTCAGGGAAAGTCCTAAAGTGTCTCCCTCAATAGTTCATCATCTTCCTCAGAGTATCAGTAGGCAGAGAACAGCATGACTGAGAAAAGTGCCTGCACTGTTCACCTTTGCAAACCCCCAGGAAGGGACAGAAGAAGAGAAGGGTTCTTCAGTTGCCCGGCCTAAGATACTCACATACACCGCAAAGTCCTTGGGTGCGCTGGTGATGTTGCCCGTTGGCGAGAGAGTCTTTGGTATGTGCTCCAGAGTGAAGGTGGTCGGGTAGATGGCCATCGACAGTCTCACCACCAAGTACCCCTGGGAGCCCTTGAATGCCCAGCAGTTACCGGGATAGATGTCAGGCTGCAGAAAAGCAAAGTATGAACGTCTTAGAGTCTGAACAAACCCTCCACCACCGAGAAATTCGGAAGCAATAAGAGAAAGACTGGTAATACTAAGATAAAATAAAAAGTTTCTGCACCGTAAAAATCCTCATAAGCAGAATGATCAAAAGACAAAGTGGGGAAAGGCATTTGCAACTTGTATCAAAAGGGTTACAAGTTGGTGTATCTTGATGTATCTCCAAGACCTAAGTAAGCTTTTACAACAGCAATGGCAGGCAAGGCCTTATGGGGACACAGGCAGGAGAGACAAATGTGTTTCAAAGAAAAATGAACTCAAGTGGTCCTCAAACATGACAAGATGCTCACCTTTCCATAAGACAGAGCGAAACACAGACCAACAGGCAGAGTGAGTGCTTCTCACCCACCAGACTGACTATGCTCCCCAAGTATGACATCTATTGCTGTCAACGATGGAGGGGAGCTGGGCCTCTCTGAATGAATGGGCCTGTGTATCTGGACCTTAGAACCAGGTAAGCATTTCATATAATTGAAACAGTTCCTAAGAAAAAAAAAGGCAATCCTTGAGAATGGAAAACGGAAACAACTCTCAATAACAACCAAGTGGGTGGTAAAATCAGAGAATAATCAATCCACACCGCCTGCAGTGTAGTTCATTCCAACCCACAGCGCCCCTAGAGGACAGAGTGGAACTGCCCCACAGGGTCTCCAAGGCTGTCAATCTTTATAGAAGCCCATTGCCTCATCTTTCTCCCACAGAGGGGCTGGTAGGTTCACATTCCCAGCCTTTCAGTCAGCATCCAAGCACTTTAACCACCGCTGTGCCACCAGGGCTCCTGAGAGAATTATCAAGTAACTTTCAATACAGCATCTGACCATGCAATTTGAGCAACTGGCATTAATTAGTATTGTAAGTTTAAATATATATATATATACACACACACACATAGAAGAAAAAAAATGTCACATATATCCTTAAGATTTTCAATATAAAAATGATACAAGGATAAAATCAAAGAAATGAAAACCATGTTGCCTTTAATTTGAATTAGAAGTATCAGTATGAACTCATGGTTTACGTTCCCGTTTCCAGACACACACACACACACACACACACACACAGAGTGGTCACACACATGTGCATACACATATTCCCTTCCTTCTACTGCAAAGGCTTTCTGGCAGCGTGCACTCCAGTGCTGAGACCAGACGCTGGTTTCTGAATGCCGTTCCTGATGCTAGAAAGAAACAGAGCTTCTCTGAGAAGTGGCCTACTCAGCTTTGGGGCAGGACATATGCATGATCCCTCAGGACACATGTGCCACCCTGGGGCTGTGTCAGAGGATGGGGCCTGTTTGGAAGAGACCCCAATGGCCAGAGATAGGATGATCTGAGCAAAAATAGAATGATGCCAGCAAGGAGCTGAAACATGTAATGTGCAAAAACTCCATTAGTTGAGGACACTGAGCAGCAAAAACAAAGACCCTCCACTGGTGCCCCTACAACAGCACAGTTGAACAGCTGAGACAGAAACTGTGGCCCCCAGGGCTCTAGAAGCACCTGTCTCACCTCTTCCACAAACAATGGCAGTTGGGACATGCCCCTGGTGCCCAGGGAACACATTTCTGCGGGCTTTGCCCACAGCTGAATGCTGGGTCAGGGCACAAGCAAGCACAGGTGGGTATTCACTGAACTTTCCCAGTGGGCGCCCCAATTCCTCTCTCACCAAGACTGAGATCCCATCCTGGGCAGCAGGGTGACGGTGGTGTCGCTGGTGCTAATCTGTACTCCCTGAAAGCTGACACGGTTGAGCACCACTGTGTATGCTTGCTGGCTGCTGGCTATCACCATTTGTGAAGTGGCCATTTAAACATCTTCCCATCTCTCAAACAGGCTGTCCCTGGTAGCCTCACTGATTCGCAGGAATTCTTTGTTGGTTGTCTTTAGTGTGAAATCTCATGTCTTCTGATTATGACATGAGATGTGGCTGAGGGACTTCTCTTCCAGACCTGGAGCCAGGCAGCCGAGGGACAAAGGAGTGACAAGCGTCCCTGTGCTTACACACGCAGTGCTCACCCACTCCTGAATTCTGTAAAACGGGGCTTATGAAGTGGGAGATGGTGACCAGGAAGATGTTTCACGCCATGTTAGACAGCATTTGTTGCTGAGGGAGGATGAATGCACCCGACAAGTGAAATTCTCCATCGTGTAATCCCTTAAACGGGTATGACCATTTCAAAGAAAGGTGACCCAAAAGAATGTGGAAAATTTTCAAATATCAATATCACATGCAAGTAAAATTCTGACGAAGGTAATTCAAAAATGGTTGCAGCAAATCAAAACAACAATGAGATACCATCTTGCTCCAGCACTAGTAGCAAAGTTCAACAAGACAGAAAATAACAAATGCTGGTGAGGTTGTGGAGAGATTGGGACTCTCATACACTGCTGGTGGGACTGTAAAATGGTACAACCATTGTGGAAAGCAGTATGGCGATTCCTTCAAAAGTTGGAAATACAAATACCATTTGACCCAGCCATCCCATTACTAGGTATATACCCTAAAGAAGTGAGAGCCATAACAAGAACAGATATATGCACGCCGATGTTCATCGCAGCACTATTTACAATAGCCAAAACTTGGAAACAACCTAGATGTCCAACAACTGAGGAATGGATAACCAAACTTTGGTACATTCACACAATGGAATACTATGCAACGCTAAAGAACAATGTAGAATCTGCAAAACACCGCATAATGTGGATGAACTTGGAGGACATTATGCTGAGCGAAATAAGTCAGTCACAAAAGGACAAATATTGTATTAGTCCGTTATTGTGAAAGTTAAGGAAAGGTTTATATATTGTAGGACATTTTCTTTGTTGGTTACCAGGGGTGGGAGGGAAGGGGAGGGAATGCTGTTAGATAGATAGAGATAAATATTGATTTGGGTGAAGGGAAGGGCAATGTACCAAATGTGAGTGACCAATATGGCAGCATTGAGGATGAGAAAGACAGAGAGAGTTACATGGGCAGTACAAACAACAAATATGAACCCCTTTGTAAATACAATACTGAGTTGTCAATGAAAGCAAACATGGGTATAGGGACGGATAGATGGGTGAACAAGCTAAACAATTATGTATGTCTAAATGGAGAGTGTATCCAAGATCATATACAGGGTTGGCAGACAATGGGCCTCTCGAAGAGTATGAAGGGATGGACACTGGGGAGGTAACTGTGGGGAGGAAGTGGGAGGGGAGCTGCTGCATTGCAAATTTTGGTCAATGACATGAGACAAAGTATATGTGAACTGCTGTATGAAAAGTGAATTTACTCTGTAAATCTTCACCCAAATCCTAAAAAAAAAAAAAAAAAAATGGTTGCAGCAGTACATTGACAGGGAACTGCCAGAAATTCAAGCTGGATTCAAAAGAGGACATGGATTGAGGCATATCATTGCTGACGTCAGATGGAACTTGGCTGAAAGCAGAGAATACCAGAAAGATGTTTACCTATGTTTTCTTCACTGTGCGAAAGCATTCGACTGTGTGGATCATAACAAATTACAGATAACGCTGGGAAGAATGGGCATTCCAGAACACTTAGTTGTGCTCATGAGGAACCTATACTTAGACCAAGAGGCAGTCAAACAGAACAAGGGGATCCTTCATGGTTTTAAACCAAGAAATGTGTGCATCAGGGTTGTATCATTTCACCATACTTATTTAACCTGAATGTTTAACAAATAATCCGAGAAGCTGGACTATATGAATCAGAATGTGGCATCAGGATTGGAGGAAGACTAATTAACAACCTATGATATGCAGATGACACAACTTTGCTTGCTGCAAGTGAAGAATCACTTACTGATGGAGATGAAAGACTACAGTTATCAGTATGGGTTACACCTCAACGTAAAGAAAACAAAAATCCTCACTACTGGACCAATAAGCAACATTATGATAAATGGAGAAAAGAATAAAGTTATCAAGGATTTCACTTTACTTGGATCCACACTCAATGGTCCATGGAATCAGTAGTCAAGAAATCAAATAATATATTGGGTTGGGCAAATCTGCTGTGAAAGACCTCTTTAAAGTGTTAAAAAGCAAAGATGTCACTTTGAAGACTAAGGTGCGCCTGACCCAAGCCATGGATGGTATTTTCAACTGCCTCATATGCATGTGAAAGCTGGACCTTGAATAAGCAAGATCAGAGAATTGATGCCTTTGAACTGAGGTGTTGGTGAAAAGCACTGAATATACCATGGACTGCCAGAAGGAAGAACAAATCTGTGTTGGAGAAGTACAGCCAGAATGCTCCTTAGAAGCGAGGATGGTTAAGACTTCATTTCAAGCGCTTTGGACATGTTAACAGAAGGAACCAACCAGTCCCTGGAGAAAGACATCATGCTTGACAAAATAGAGGGTCAGCTAAAAACTGGAAGCCTCTCAAGGGGATGGGCTGACACAGTGGCTACAAGCATAGCAACGACTGTGAGGACCGCCCAGGACTGGGCAGTGCTACGTTCTCTTGTATGTGGTACGTGTTACACCCACTCAGCAGCCCCACTCACACGGGGCTCTAAGACACCATGGGAAAAACAAAGCACTCAACCTATCAGGCACGCTTAATTACAGACATAATCAACACTGTAAAACCAACTAACAAATTGTGCAAGGGACTTAATGAAGTAGTCAATTACCACATATAATAACTAATAATTGTAAGTTCACACACATGCAGTGTTTATGGTCCCAGCAGGGACACAGGGAGTGCTAGTCCTGCCCCATCCCCTGGTCTCCTCAGTAAGAAGCTGAAGAAAATATCGACACCCTGCTCACGTGCACCCTGATTTCATGTGGGGCCTAAACGTCTATGTGGCAGAATCAGGAGGCCTGATCCGCACCCCCACACACTCACCTGGATCACAACACGAGGAGACTGTGAGAAGTACCAAAGTGGGATCCCAAACAGACTGATGAGGGCTGTTTTCGTCTCATAGGTCTCCGAACAGCGCGTACTCAGGATGCTACCACCTGAAAAGAAAGTTTACATTCCTCCCAACATCTGTGCTGCCATCTCCAAAGCCGCGCTAACAGCCATCTGAACAATTTGTCTTTTTTCCTTTTGTATTTGTTTTTAAATTTCTTAAACTGTGATTTGGGTGCAAATTTACAAAGCAGAGTCATTTCACTCTCAACAGTTCATGCATATTTGGCTTCACGCCCCCACTTACAATCCCAACAATAAAAAGCTCTCTTCCCCTCTCCTCCATGTGACCCCTTCCCTGTGCCCCTCTTATCTATGCATTCCTGTCTGCCTGCCTTTCCCTCTACGTGAATGCTGCCCTTCTGATGTCTCCTGGTTGACTGGTCTAAGGGTGCATCTCCCTAGGGTACGTAGGGGCATCCCCCCAGGATAGACATTGGGCTGAGAGCTAATCCACGGGAGTGAGTCCAGTTCCAGGCCCAAAGGATAACCCGGGCCCATTGTCTTGGGGGTTCCACCAGCCTCGTCCCAACCAGTAATTCTGGTCATTTTTGTGTTTTTGAACTTTGTTCTACGTTTTTCCTTCCAGCTTTATCCAGGATCTCCAATTCTGATCCCTTTCCAAGTGGTTGGCATTGGAAGACAGGCACCATCTAGTTCTTCTGGTGTCAGGGTCCTGAAAGCTGAGGTCCCCGTGGTCTATCACCATATCCTTGGACTAATTATTTCCATATGACTTTGATTTTTACTCCTCTTTGCTCCAAATGAGGGGAGATCAACATTTGTATATTAGATGGCTGTTCAAAAGCTTTTAAGACTCCAGTCTCTATTCACCAAAGTATAGAACAAGATTTTTATGTACTGTGTGGTGCCAACTGAGCTTGATGTCCCTTGAGACCATAGTCCTGAGCCCACAGGCCTGATATCCCTCAAGGTGTTTGGCTGTCACTGCAAAGCTATTCCAAGCTTGTCTCCTGTAAATTCTGTAATGTATGTGGAATAACATGTAGGAATATTATCAGCTGACTTTATCTGTGGTCATGGGTATAGTCCTGGTCGCCTACCCACACCTGATCTTCTCACCTGTCTATGCAGCCGCCGTTAGGCTAGTTTCGTTGTTACCGATAATGCAGTGTTGTGCATGTCATGGTATTTGCCTCTGTTGTCTCTATCTTTTGTGTACATTTCCGGGTCCTCCTTTTCCCTATTGTTACTGTGCTGGTCGCATGCTTTTGTTATATTGCCTTTCCCTTCACCCAAATCAACACGTAACTCTTAACAAGTCAGAAATTTTCCCACCCCTTCCCTCCCAACCCTGGAAACCAACAAAGTAAACTTCCTTCTCTGTGTAAACCTTTCCTTGACTTTTTCATAATGGACTCATACAGTATTTGTCCTTCTGTCTCTGACTTATTTCACTCAGCGTAACATCCTCTAAATTCATTGATGTTGTGAGATGATTTGTACATTCTTAATTCTTTTTTAACTTGTATAGTATTCTATTGGGTGTATGCATCATAGTTTGGTTATCCATTCATTTGTTGATGGGAACTAAGGTTGTTTCCATCTCTTTGCTATAGTGGATTATGCTACAATGAACACAGGTGTGCGCATGTTTATTTGTGTCTTCTCACCTCTATAGGGTATGTATATTCCTAGTAATGGAATTGCTGGGTCAAATGGTGTTTTTGTTTTCAACTTTTTAAGGAAATGCCACACCGTTTTTCACAGTGGCTGTACCATTTAACAGTCCCACCAGCAGTGTATGAGAGTTCCAATCTCTCTGCTGCTCGCCAGCATTTGTTATTTGCTGTATTGTTGAACTTTGCTTTTATTACTGGGGTGAGATGGTATCTATCTCTTTGTTGTTTGGATTTGCATCTCTCTGAAGGCTAATGACCGTGAGCATTTCCTCATGTGTTTGCTGCCCGCCTGTGTCTTCTTTAGTGAAGTGTCTGTTCATGTCCTTTGCCTGTTATTGGGTTGTTTTTTTGGTGTTGAGGAGTTAGGAAGTTTTCTACGAATTTTTGAGATAAGTCCCTTGTCAAATATGTCTTAGCCAAATATTTTCCCCCAATCTGTAGGTTCTCTTTTTACCCTTTTCAAGAAGTTTTTCAACGCATATTAAGAATTTAGCTCTTAAAAGGCCCCAGCCATCTAGTTTCTCTTCTGCTGCTTGTACATTTTGGGTTGTGCTTGATAGTCTGTTTATGGCATAAATTAAGGCCCCTAGGTTTTCCCTTAGGGAGCTCTGGTAGCATAGTGGCTAAGACACTTGCCTGCTAACCAGACGGCTGGCGGTTCAAACCCACCAGACACTCCTCGGAAGGAAGGTTGGGCAATCCTACTTCCGTAGTGATGCTGCCTCGGAAACCCAAGGAGGGGTCGCTATGAGTCGGGTTTGACTCGACGGCACATAACAACAACAACAACAGGTTTTCCCTTATTTTATCTTTGATGAACTTTATGGCTTTCAGTTTTACATTTAAGTCTTTGATCCATTGTGGGTTCGTTTTTGTGTATGGTATGAGGTATGGATCTTGTTTCATTTTTCTGCAAGTGGATATCCAATTCTGTTTAAGCATTTATTAAAGAGGCCATTTCTCCCCCATTTAATGGGTTTTGGCCCTTTGTCCAAGATCAGCTGTGTCCAGAAGGATGGGTCTATTTCTGGGTTCTTGATTCCACTGTCTACCAGTGTTCCATTTCTCTACTGTTGTACCAATACTACGTTCTTTTGACTACAGTTCTGGTTCAGTAGATTTTGAGATTGGAAAGTGTGAGACCTCCTACTTTTGTTTTTCTTCTTCAGCAGTGCTTTGCTTATCTGAGATCTCTTTCCTTCCCATATGTGGTAGTTAAGTTTGTGTGTCAACTTGGCTGGGCCTGGCTGAGTGGCTAGACAGCTGGATTACAAGACTGGTAATCAACTCGACGGTGGGATCTACCACAAGCAGGTGAGTAACTGCTTTAGGGATGTCATCTGCTTCCCATATATAAGCAACAGCTTTGGGACTGGTCTCCAGCTTATGGCATGCTCGAACCCCGCATGTAGCTGTGTCGTTGTTCAGCAGCCTGCCATGCTCTGCTGACCTTGGGACTTTCAATGGACTTGAACGAATGGCCTGCCGTGTGGTTTGGTAACATCAAGACCATGCCTTTTCACTTGTCAACCCTGGGCTTGTCAGCCTCAGCAGCCAGTAGCTGAATGAAGAAAAGCCTCTACCTTCAATGGGCCAGGAGCAGGAGGCAGAGCTGAAGCCCAAGGTTGAGGGGCTTTCACCCAGCCTGTGGAGCCTGGCACTTTGAACTTGGACTTAAAGCCTCCAAACTGTTAGAGAATAAACTATTGCTTGTTAAGGCTATCCCACTGGTGGTGTATTCTTGTCAGAGCAGCACTAAGGAACCAGGACACTCTATAAAGTTAGTGACTGGTTTTTCCACATCCTTAAAGAATTTAGTGATTTATCCTGGTGTTTTAAAAAGTTTCCATGTCCTTAAAGAATTTAGTGATTTATCCTGGTGTTTTAAAAATTCTCAACTTTTTAACTTGTACAAAACAAAACAAAAAAAAATCAAACTCATTGCCGTTGAATTGGACCCGACTCAAAGCGACCCCTCCTTGGGTTTCCGAGAAGGTATCACTACGGAAGTAGACTGCCCAACGTTCCTTCTGAGGAAGGTGGTGGGTTTGAACCGCTAGCCTTCCGGTTAGCAGTCAGATGCCTTAGGCACTATACCACCAGGGCTCCTAACTCGTACAAAGAACCTTTTAATTTAAGACCAAGCCTATCTTAACACATTTTGGTTTTTCAAACCCATACTTAATAGTTTGCAATTGCTTTAGGATACCCAATTTGTAGCTAAGGAAACGAACCAATTCTTTCTCCCCCTCCCTCGGAAGAACACGGGTTCCTCACCACTCTGATGATGGTGGCTCTGATGAAATTGTGTTCTCAGTCAGTGTAGCCAGGTGGCAGGGAGATTCAGAAGGCCTACCTAACACGTGGGTGGCGGAGGGAGGGTGGAAGAACTGAGGTGACTGCTGACAGGGGTTTTGTTGGGGAAAGGAAGTATTTCAGAATTAGACTTCAATGGTGGTCATACAACAGAGTGAGCCAGCACACTACATGTTGCTAAACTACATGTACAGTTTCAAGTGGCGACACGACACTTATGCCATGCTACATCTCAACAAAAGTATAATACACATCTTTCTTTTTTTTTCACTGTAAACATTTTCTCTTTTTTTTTAAATTGTGATTTGGGCGAAAATTTACAGAGCAAATTCACTTTCCACACAGAAGTTCACATACACTTTGTCTCATGACATTAACCACAATTTACCACAGTGCAACAGCTCCCCTCCCACTTCCTCCCAATAATTACCTCTTCCCTGTGTCCATCCCTCCATACCCTCCTGCCCCCTGAGCTGTCTCCCTGTGCATAAGCAGCCCTTCTTTCTCCATGACTGTTCTCTCCAAGGAGAGTATCTACCTAATGTAAATGTTCAACTCATATGCCTATCTTTTGCTTGGCTGGAAGCCACAGGTGTGGGTTCAATTCCAGACCTGAAGGACAGCTAGAGGCCATAGTCTCAGTGGTTCCACCACGCTCTATCGGACCAGCAAACCTGGTCCTGCCCAACCTTTTTTTTTTTTCTCCAAATGATTTTGAGTTTTGTTCCACATTGTTCTCCCTCTCTATCCAGGATCTCCTACATAGATTCCCTTCCAAGTGGTTGACACTGGTAGCTGGGCACCACCATCTAGCTCTTCTGGTCTCATAGTCATAGAGGCTGCAGATCAGATGGTGTACCAGCTGCTAGGACTGACTGTATCCTTGAAGTTTTGGTCTTCTTCATTCTTCTTTGCTCTGGACGAGGAGAGACCTATCATTGCATCTAGATGGGAGCTTGCAAGCTTTTAAGATCCCAGTTGCTATTCGCCAAAGTAGGCGGTGGAACAATGTTTTGTGTAGTATGTTATGCCAATTGAGCTTGATGTCCCCTGCGACTATGGTCCTGAGCCCACAGGTTCAACCACTCAGTCCCTCTGGGTAGCTAGCTGTGACCAAGCAGTGACTACAACCTTGCCTCTTGTCAGCTCTACTAGACACCTGGGAATTTAGATCATACACATAAACTTATAGGACCATTGTCTGCCAGCCCTATACATGTTCTTGGGTATACTCCCCGCTTCATAGAAATACCTACTAGTTCAGCCTGTCCACCCATCTATCCACCTGTATACCCACATTTGCCTTCACTGACAACGCAGTACTGTTATGTGCAAAAGGGTTCATCTTTATAATACACGTCTTTCAAAGTTCCGTTTGTCCACCAGGAAACAGGGAAGACAGGATGCTGGAGCCTCAGCTGGCCCGTAATAGCCAAATGGGCCACTGCAGTCAGATGTGGGGTAGTTCAGCCCTACACAGACCACACCACAGATTTCCTGTGCTCGTGGGAAGAGATAACAGAGGTAGGTTTCATGTCTTTCTGCTCCTGCAGGACTCCCAGGCCCTTTAATAGATCAAGAGTTCCTTCTTTCTCAAGGGAACATACTGGTCCACCAGCCTCAACCTCAACTCCTCATGTTCTGAAACCAACATTTTCTGTAACACACACACTGACACTCTGCCCTGAACTGACCTGCGGTCCTGTGGTCTTTATCTCATGTAGTGTGAATGAGTGTGTGTTTTAGCCCAAGGCTTCACTGAGGTGTCATGTCATAAACAGTTTATGTCCCATGACAGTCCCAAGCCACAGCTCTGGTCCTTCAAATGCACCTGGAGTGTACGGATTGTGTCCCCCAAACTGGAATGGTCAGAATTCTCTCTCTTAATTCCTTGGGAAACCAACGTAGTGCTGCACCCCTGCCTACACCCCATTCTGTTCACGCAGCAGCACTGTGTTCTGGAGGGCACTCATCACTACTCAAGACTCTGTTGTGGCATGTCTCTGGGGAACATAAGCTCCTGCAGGTAGGGCATGGTCAGGCTCACCAATGCGCCCTAAATGGAAAACACACACACAGAGCCGCCAGGGGGTGCTCAGGGTCTGTGGGGCAGGCTGGGAACTGCTGCCCTGTGCTGAGCTCGTCTGGCGCCTATGCTAGAGCCAGTAAGTCTTCCACACGTCAGCTGCGTCTGCTGGTGAATCCTGACACAGCTGGACGAGCCCAGCTGCCACTGAAGTCCCCTGAACTGGGCTTTGCGGAAGCTCCTAACTGCGTGGCCACCACATGCCACCAGCCCTTCTGGGGACCTGACTGTGGCCCAAAAAGCAACTGAGGAGAAAGAAAAGCCACAAGGGATTCAGCCTGAGAAGTTGTTTTCTCAGCCTTTGTAAGTTGTGACAAATTCCTTCGTGTTGGGCTGGTAACTGTTAACCAGTGACGTCCCATGGTCAGCCATTAACACTTGGGTTCACTTACCACCAGACTCCAGAGCAAAGTCCACCATCCCGGTTTTATCCTGGGAATACAGTTTCAAAGCGTTGTTGACAATAATCCGTGCTTGCTAGAGGTGGAAGATCAGAACAGAGTAATGACTTAGTGTTAATGACATGAAATTAAGACCAGATAGTTAATGAAAAACCCATTGCTGTTAGGTGGATTCTGACTCCTACCAAACCCTACAGGACAGCCTAGAATCACCCCATGGGATTTCTAAGGCTGTGAACTTTACGGGAACAGATCTTTACTGCCACATTTTTCTCCCTCAGAGCAGGTAAGGGGCTTGAACTGCCAATCCTTCAGTTAGCAGCTGAGCACTTAACCACTATACCATGAGGGCTCCTTTGACAGTAAAGTGTGTGTGTCCAATTAACTGTACTTTGGGGATTGAGAGGCATGGGGCACTGTTCCAGAAATCCCAAACCTTGTCAGCACCCCTGACCATGAGGGCCACCAAACTCAGTCAGGGACATGGGAGCCCTCTTGCCTGGGTATAGATGTTCAATGAGCAGAGAAACCCACCACAGGCCTTAAAACATGACCAGAACCAGACTAGAACGAGGGACTGTCAGGGCACTGCATATGGGGCCTGTCCCCTGTCATTTCAGAAACACCACCTCACAGGGAGCAGAGGCTCTGGGATCGCAGAAGTTCTCCCAAGAAAGGCCCCAGAGTAGCAGCCATGACTACTGAGCGACGGCCTCACTCAGGTAGGTGTCGTACTTGGCACCTCTGATGCCATCTGACTTGGCCTAACCCTGTACTTATCGACTCCCTGGCTGCTGCATCCTGAGCACCTCTTACGCCAACTTACCGCCTCCGTGATCCCAGAAACCCCTGCCTCGTGTGCGGCTGACAGCACCACTGCGGAGGTGGGGGCCTGCTTCGTCACAGAGATGTGCTGGGTAATGTTCCTCAGGACCCGCAGTTCCAAGTCTTGTAGCAGGACCTGCAGGTCATCCTTGCTGACAAACCGAGAGGAGGCTTGCTGCAGCAGCCACTCGAGGGCGCCATCTTGCAGGTCGCCAGAAAACATGCGTCTGACTGTGTCTCGGACTTGGGTGTCCACCTATGAAATCACGACACACATTTAGTTAAATGGTTCCAACCCTTCACTATCTCCACCTCAGTCAGACACCTCTGAACCATCACATGACACTCCAGATTCCATAAGCAAATGTGACCCTTCTACTTTCAATTTTAAGGACTCCCTCCAAAAATGTTGCCTAGTTTAAAGAGAACTGGACTAGAACTAAAGACAGACCGAAGCGCCCATCTGCTCAGATATGGCTGCTGGTTCAGCTGCAGTGAACCCCTCAGCAGTTATTCAGCTCCCAGGCAGAAAAGGCCCAGGTAGGAATAAAATGGTCCCTTCTGTTCAACAAACTCAGTCTGGCAAGGGAATAGTTGTATAAACAAAGCAGAAACACAACTTTATGTATGCTATGTATGTCCACGTGTTGTGCACCCCCCCCAATCACGTATGTACATTCCTCTCTTGCTTGGTAGGGCGTGGAGTCCAGGGGACCACAAGAGCACAACCCTGGGGTAAGCCACGCACCCAGCACTGTCCTAACCAGCCTCACAGCAGGGCCAGCCCGGCATGTGCCCTGCCCAACACCAACCCTGCAGCACTGAGCATCCCTCCTGATAGCCTCATCCGGGTGTTTCCATTTCTGCAGGGAGAGCCCCAACACTGGGACTGCTGCCCCATGGCACAGACACCTTCCTAGGTGATTAAAATCTCAAGATTTTGTTCCCCAAAGGGTAGAGTCAGTCACATCCTGCCAGCCTGGAGAATACTGCTTCTCTGTGTCACACGGTGTGGCCAGCCACCTATGTCCTGTGCTCTGAGGGCTGAAGTGTGGTCACTTGTGTCACACGTGGACCCTGCAGGTGAGCCTGGGCTCCCTGCCCACTAACTTGCTGCTGGGCCTCCTACTGCTCTCAGGAGCTCTTTGCACATCAGAGATACATCTGACCATGTAACCCAGCACCCTGTTTCCCAATCCACTGTGTGACTGACATAGGGTGATGTCTGCCATTTACTTTGCTTTGCTTAAGGACACACAGGCTTGAAGAACGCCCAGCATGAGGCATGAGGAAAATAGAATTAAGCTGCCTCTGTTGTGGTAGAAGAAATCTACAAACAGGGCTCCCCCCACCCCAATTAAACGCCAGTATGCATCTAGGCGCCCAAGGGAAGTAGGGAGAGACAGAAACCTAAGTGCTACCATGCTATGGTACCATGATGGAAGGGATTTGAGATGAATCAAATTCGTTATTCTGAAGATTTTAAAAAATAAAACACAACAAATGTTTCTTAAAAGCAAGTGAAAATGAACAACTGTTGCGAACAGCTCCCGCCCCCCACCTTTTCTCTCATTGCGCCCCCCGCCCCCACCCCCACTGCTGCTGTGCCCCCATCTGTGTTCATCACCCACCTCCTCACTCCCCCTCCCCTCCCTTCCTCCTGCCTCACTCCACCCCTGTCCCCTCCATAGATGCTTTGCCCATCACTTCCGCCCCGCCTCCTTTCTCTTGCTCCACCCTGAGTCCCATACTCCCTCCTGCCCTCACCTTCTCATGGATTGTTTCCACTTTCTCGCAGCTGCTCTGCAAATGTCGCCAGTCTACCAGTTCTGCCTTCAGCTGCTCCAGCTGCAGCTCCAGCTGCCTGACTGTGGAGAGGAGGTGCTGCTCGCTGGCAGCCCCGCTGGAAGGCAAACAGTGGGGGCCCGGGTTCCACAAAGATATCCCAGAGCAGGGCCCCTGCCCACGAGCCCATAGCCAAGATCCTGTCAAACTGAATGCACAAACTCAACACTAGTTTCAAACCGCAACCCCAGAGGGAGTCCTCTCCATGACAGTTTAGAAACACACAGAGACACATGCCCCGTAGACAGGGTAACCACGGGGAGGTGACCACCAGAAAGGTCCAGACAGCAGCTACTTCATAGGTGGGTGAAAGACTGCCCGAAGACAATGTCCTATCTGAAAACTTTGCCTGTCATTGTTGCTGGGGGCTGACTAAAGCCAGTTCTGACTCAAGGTGACCCCACATGTCAGTAGAGAACTGCTCACAGGGTCTCTGGCCTCTCATCTTTACTGAGGCAGATCACCAGGCCTTTATTCCATGGCGCTGCAGAGCGGGTTCAAACCAATGACCTTTAGTTTACTGCTGGGTGCCGCTGAGTTGATTCTGAATCATAGGGACCCAATGTGACAGAGCAGAAGGGCCCCATAGGGTCTCCTAGGCTGTCAATCTTCACAGAAGCAAAGCCCAAACCACACCCACTGCCATGGAGTCCACTCCAACCCACAGCGCCCCTAGAGGACAGAGTGGAACTGCCCACAGGGTCTCCTAGGCTGTCAGTCTTTACAGAAGCAAAGCCCAAACCACACCCACTGCCGTGGAGTCCACTCCGACCCACAGCGCCCCTAGAGGACAGAGTGGAACTGCCCACAGGGTGTCCAAGGCTGTCATCTTTATGGAAGCTGACTGCCAGGTCTTTCCCCTTTGGAGCCTCTGGTGGGTTCATACTGCCAACCTGTCTGTCAGCAGCTGAGCCTTTAACTTTTGAGCCACCAGGGCTCCTTAATGAATATTTAGAAACCATATCTGTGCTCTTGATATTGTAAATGAGAGCCAGAAACGAATCAGCATTTACCCACAATCACTAGGATGAGTCTCAAGTGCCCGTGAGGTGGAAGGGATGCTGTAGTAGACACACGTGACTTAGGGTCCTGTCAGCAGTTGTGTTTTCAGAGACACTGTATCAGACACTGCAGCGCTCTGCTCCCATCTGTTCCCAGGCAGGCACGGTGGCCCTGAGAACCTGACCTGGGCAGGGAGGCTCTCCTGCTCACAGCAGGGGCACCATCGTGGGTGGGGTAGCCATGAGGCTTTCCTGCTGCACACAGGTAGGTGCTAAGCAGCCCCACTGGCTGCCCTTCTCCCCATGTGGCTCCACAAGGACCTCCCAGACAGACAGACAGTAAGCTTGGACCAGTCACTCAGGAGACACTGTGGCACCTGGCAGGCAGAGAGAGGCAAGTGATGGAGACCGCACATATTTCCTGTCATCTCACCTGGCTGCTCTCAACTTGGTCTGCTCCAGCTCCTCCTGGGCAGCCTATGAGAGAGAAAGTCTGCTGACACAGAGGTAGATGGACAGCTCACACAGGTCTCTGGGTTTGTTAATTCACAGTCCAGCCCTGCCCGTAGCCCCTGATGGCTCCCTGCAAGGCCACTACTTGAACATGGGAGCAGATGCCATGTCCTTGGATGCCGAGGGTGACTTCACAGCTGGATGGCTGCTGGCACATGCATCTGGTGTGCTGGGTCTGCCTCAGACCCACCCTGGCTCACCTACCCGCCTCCTCCACCCCAGAGCAGCCACGTGGTCCAGGCCACCAGACACCTTGGAATCCAGGAACAAGATAAACTTGCAATGAAATGGAGCTCTCGGGAAAACAGGGCATCAGGGACACTTGTTGGTTTCATAAAAGACAACAACAAATATCCTAAGAGGAAGTGCTTCACAGAGAGGGTCGTCCACTGCCATCAAGTCCACTTAGACTCATAAGCAGCCTCCACTGGGCTTCCAAGGCTGTAGATCTTTACAGAAACAGATTGTCCCATCTTCCTCCCATGGAGCAGCTGGGGGAGGCGAAGTTAAACCTCTGACCTTCCCTTCTTGTTAGCATCCCAAACGCCTTACCCACTATGCCATCAGAGTTCCTTAGAGAGTGCTAAGGAGCTTGGAAACAGGGCTGTAGCTGACTCAATTTAAAAAGTCGTTGCTGGGCTTGGAGCTCCATGGGCAAGGTCAGGGGCCAGTACCTCGGCTCTTTCTGTCAGTCTCCTCATCATGGCTTCCAGAGTTGAGAGACGTGATTCGTGCTCTTGGCGGAAAGTCACAAAGTCAGTCTTAGAGAGAAAAACAAATGCCCAAGTGGGTTAAGGAAACTATGCATCACAGACCTAGCAGGTAAAGCCAAGCTTTTTACACATAGCACCCAACAGCTAGACTATGGTTCTAAGCTGACTTTGGACCCTTGAAGGGGAAAGGCACTAGTACCATCCCTTGTCTTTGCCTTTGACTCTGGTGGGTTCAAGTCTGTGCTGCCAGGATTGATCCACAAGTTCTGTTACAGAGGGTTTCATGAAGATGCCTGTAACTACTAGACACACTCTGCAAAGGGCAGATCAACTGCTGACCTTCCGCAAACACTCCCTATACACCCGCTGTACCTCCTGCTTTAAATGAAAGTCACTGTAGGTCCACTTATCTCCCCTATCACTGCACACGCACAGGAAATACACAACATGGAAACCTCTACCAGGAATTGTTGTTGTTATGTGCTTGACTCACAGTGACCCCTCCTCGGGTTTCCGAGGAGGCGGTATCACTACGGAAGTAGATTGCCCAACCTTCCTTCCGAGGAGTGGTTGGTGGGTTAGCAGTCAAGTGCCTTAGGCACTACGCTACCAGAGCTCCCCTACCGGGAATAAGCAGCCACAATGCTATCCCAGAACCCCAGACCATACCACTGGGAACGGACAGCATCAGGTGGCTACAGTCACTTATCTAGTACTGATCAGCACCGACTAGCAAGTGACCTTCCTGGCTGGGTGGGGAAGTGTCCATGAGAGGTCAAACTAGAAAAGAGCTGTGTATAGCATAAGCAGCTACCTGCTCGAAAACAGTGACAGTCAAAAACCACTGCCACTTACGCTCACAATAAGGGCTGAGCACTGCAGAGATTGGCAGGAAAAGGGCTGGGGGCCTCCTGTACCCCAAGTCCAGAGGGACTGTGGCTGTGAGTTCTCTCTGTGGGTTCTCTGTGGATTATGGCTGTGGATTCTCTCTGGATTCTTGCTGCGGATTCTCTGTGGACTGTAACTGTGGGTTCTCTGTGGACTGTGACTGTGGGCTCTCTCTGGACTCTGGCTGTGGATTCTCTGTGGACTGTGACTGTGGGTTCTCTGTGGACCGTGACTGTGGGCTCTCTCTGGACTCTGGGTGTGGATTCTCTGTGGACTGTGACTGTGGACTCTCAGAATTCCGGCTGCAGGGTTCTCTGAGGACTTAGCTGTGGGGAACCCTCTGTGGGAGCATCTATCCTGTCTTACTCTAAGAGTCTTTGATGATCGACACACAAAGATGAGACGCAGTCATCAGAGTAAAAGCATGAAGCTCAGCTGGAAATGTGAGCCCTGTGGGCCCTGAGGGGCAGAGAAGCCAGCAAAAGGGCGCTGAGTGTGCATGACCATTGGTCTGTGAGTGACATGGCCGCGGACCTTCTTCCTGCCAGTGCTGAGGCCATGCACCACAGGCCATTCCTAGTGTCAGCCACCCAGGAGCAACAACAGGAGGACAAGACCCTTCTCAGCATTACCTCAGCACCTGGGACACCCATCGCTCGTTGCTCTGCGAGCTGGTGGACCAGGGAGAGCACCCCATCCCGGTCGCCATCCGCCTGGTCTGCACGTGCCTGCAGGCTCCGGAGCAGCAGCGTCAGCTCTCTGAGTTTCTCCTCGTGCAGCTGACACCTTCCGGACAACGAGGTCACCTGGTGCTCCACGTCACTCAGCCGGTGCCAGTGGAAAGCTGCCTCACCGTGGCCCTGAAATGGTCAGAAGGGGTCCTGCAGGCAGTGCTCAGGAGAGAGGAGAGTCAGAGGCACACAGCGTGCATACTCGTCACCACACCCACAGCACCACATGCAGACTCCTTCGAGGGAGCAGGACACGTGGACCACAAGTGAACACCCTCAGAAGAGAGGCCCATGGGTGGCATCACTCTCTTCCTTATGCATTGCGCTCTCCACAGTGACGGACACTCTTCTGTTTTCTTAGTTAAAACTAGCTGGGTCATGAAATGACCTGTAACATGCAGCATCTGAACCACTGCAGCACATGTGAGGACTGTAGGACTTCCTCACTGTACTTATGAAAGGCTCCCCTGGACCACTGTGCTCACAGGTGCATGAACCTTTACCACAAAGAAAAAGCTGCAGGGCCCTTTAAGACAGCCTTCTACCAGTTACCTCAGGTGGCAGGTGCAGGTGGGAAGCAGCAGGTGTGAGGATGGTCTTGGGGTCATCCATTCTCTGTGCTTTGTACACATCAGTCCAATTTAACATGGGCAGCAATGACAGGAAATCGGCCTGGCCCCAGAAGGCAAGACCTGCACCTTGAACAGAGATAATGGCTGAGAACACACAGTCACCCACATGCTTGCTTTCAAAAGCATACTTAGATGGCCCATTGTTTGCACTTTTGTGTACACACACACACTCACCACCCAAGGCTGCTCAGCCAAGCCCCACTTACCTAGGAAAAGTAACAACGGGATGAGCACGACTAAGCCCTTGCAAACATTTCGAAGGCACCTAGAACAGAAATGAAGACACGGAACTTGGAAGAGTGAAAGGCAGATTCACCTTTCTGTTTCCCTCTCTGGGTAAGCTCACACAAAATACTGCCAGCCGATCAAAACGGAAAGCCATAATACCGGAGGTGCAGCTCTAGATATGTGGATGTCCTGAGGTGAACCTTCCTATACATCACTGCTTCCCAGGCCTGGGTTAACTGGCTCTACACACACAAGGTGCCAGACCGGGGCTGCCAGGAGCCACCAAAGTAACTGGAACCTCTTCCCCTGATCACCTCTGCCCCACTGTGTCACCTGGTACCCTGGAAACCACCCTGAAGCACGGCTCAGAGATCCAGGTGCAGCCCTGAGCCTTCCCCTTCCTGGCTGTGTGACTCACCCCCCCAAGCTTCTGCACACTCTGCTTTCCTCAAGGGTGACTCCCGCCTTTCCCAGTTCAAAGGGTTGGAGGGGAAGAGGAAGTAAAAACATCAAAGCACGCTCTGTAAATGTAAGGCAGTGACCTCAAACCTAAATACGCGAGGGATTGTCATCAAAAGACTAGCCAGAAGACCCCTGCGGCTGGCCTAAAGCATGCTCCTCTGAAGCTGGGCTGACGCAGTGGCATCAGCATCTTACCTTGTGAGAAGGAACACATTCAGCCAAGATACCAGAGTTACCAACTGGTACCATCCGAACCCCAGCCACCAGAACAGCCCAGAGGCTGCCTTCCCTAGAAGAGAAAACACGAACAGTCTGAGCAAACCCTCTCAAGGGATGCACTTTGCGAGGGACCAAGCTGGAAGCACAAAGAGGTAAGTACCGGCAGACACTGTGGAGATGAGCAAGGACATAGTGGAGATGCTCTATGGAGAGGCGCTTGTCAGCGTGTGAGGAATGACCCAAACACAGGAACACAGCTCACGCAATGCACGACGCAGAGACACCCACAAGACGAGATGGCAAAAGCAGAAACCCCACCCACACTTGTCAGTGTCTGAAGAATGACCTGAACACAGGAACACAAGCCACGCAATGCACGATGTGGAGAAATGCACACAACGACATGGCAGAAGCAGAAACCCTACCCACACTTGTCAGCTATGCGAAGATCAAACAGCTGGACTTACGCAAAACCCAACAGCAGGCAACAGACACTCATGCAATAAACATACTGTCTGCTAGCATCTCTAAATAACACAGAACAAAATGGCTAAGCAAGGGGCCAAGCGTGGGGACCTAGACATGAAGGGTTATTATGGGCACCGAGCAGCCAAGCCTGGTAGAAGCTGTGAACACAGGAAGTTGAAATAGCCACCTGGAGCAGCGATGGCCAGCCAGAGCGCTGACCACACCGCTGAGGACAAGAGCCAGCCTGCAGTGGCAGTCCTATGCAGCACCTGTGCCAGACCATGACCTGTAGACAAAATGTGCATGAGAGGCACTCAGACCAGTGCTTCCAGTGCACAGCAGAGCCAGACACATCATGCCACCCATACAAACAGCATTCCCACACAGCAGAGCCACGCAGGCCATATCACCTGTACCACCGGCACTCCTGTAACACGGAAGAACCACACATGTCACGTCACCCATTCCACCAGCACTCTCTAAACACAGAAAAACCACATATGCCACGTCACCTGTACCACTAATGCTCTCTTGTCCTAAGTCTATTCTCAAGGAAAAAAATTGTGTCAAGTATGAGACACACATCCCCTGAAACAGATAAGTGAAAACCCTGCTGTAAGTCTGCAGTGTCCTGCCTGAAGACATGCAAAATGCAAAATGCAGATCCCCTTACAAAATCCCAGGGGCCACGATCAGAAGTGACCCTAGAAACACTTGCAATTGGTGCTAGCAGGCTATAGGGAAGACGATGGTTACTGAAAAACCAAAATGAAAATGATCCTGCAGACTAATATTTTTCAGGGACATGGTATCAAAATGGCAAGTGGTCGTAGCACCAGATGCGTCACGGCCAGACAGTAAGTCATCTCATGTCAAAGGTCACACACTCTGTAAGGCTGAAAATGGCATATGACATCAGTTTTCTTTCATTTTTTTAAGAGTAGTTGCTGGAAGCTATACATTATACAAACTCAACAATGACGTCTTGATGCCTAAAACCATCAAGCAGAAATTCTAATACAGATGATAAGCAAAAACAGTGTTTAGAAAAGGCACCTCTGTGACCAAGAACTGCATAAACGGGAATCGTCTCCTGTTGTCTGTAGGCCCCATTATGAGCGTCTAGCACACAGGTACTGAGCAGAGCCATGGCTCCGGGACAGACACACGGGCAGCAGCATTTGCAAAGCCACACTCCAGTACAGGTGGGTAATTAGTTACTAATTAGCAGCCTCAAACCAGCTGCCTTTCCTATGGTTAATCTGTGCTAAACGAATGTACAGACACTTTTAAGAGTGAAACTCTTGAACTAAGGCTAATGCTGCTCATGCCAATTTTACTAAGCAGGGCTATCAAACACCTCAACTCCATACAGACATGAGAGCCAGGGGCCCCGCATGCATCAAGTCACAGGATGAACAACACAGAGAACGGGCGAGCAACCACCTGCATGAGTGATGATGTAACACGCAGCCCTGTATGCAAGTGTGGGCAGCATGTGGAGGGAGACGTGGCCTTCAAGGTGCTCCTTGTTCCCCTTGCTGTCTTTACCTGTTGGTGGTGGTGACAAGCAGTTAATGTGACAACAACGTGAACTGTGCACAACAGCAACTTGAAAAATCAGGGAACTGATGATGGGGATAAGGCTCAGCAGAGGCTCCCCACCCCCAGGAGGAGGCTTCACTGCTGGTTCACCTAGCCCAGCCTGTCGCACGGGGCTGCTGCAACACATGGGGCCGCCATACAAACGCACCAACACCTTCTGCCTCGCCAGGGGCCCAACTACCACCTGTGAGGTGCCGTGTCTGACACCAAGGCTGTCATGGAGCCACGCAAGGCCATACTTACACAGCAGCTCCCCGTCTACGCTGAGGCGCGCATCTTCTCCGAGCAACTTGCTCACCTGTGTCCTCCCACCACGCCCGGACAGAGCTGCAACACAGTGACAGAGGCTCAGAGAGCATGTCAGCGCCGGGCGTGGCCTCTGCTCAGAGGCTAAGGGAGCCAGTGCGACAGAGAGAAGCCTAGGCTGATGGCTTGCAGGGCTTGGACTCTGAAGGCTCACACAATACAGGTGAGTCCAGGTGATGCTAAAGCCCCACCTGCTGAGTAAGGTGCCCAGGCAATACCAGGTGACCAAAGACTGGCCTACTCAAGATGCTGAAGCATGACCCTAAGCACCACTCAAGTAAATGACTTTTGCTTTAAAGGGATAATATGGCATAAGAATTGAGTATATCAAATAAAAAAAAATACAAAAAATGTTGATGCACTGACTACCTTCCAGAAAACAGAACCACATACAGAGCACAGGGAAATACCACAAGCCCCCTCAAAGATAGGTCAGCCGCCAGAGGTCGGCTGCAGGAGAGTCCAGGTGCAAGAAAGAAAGAAAGTGGCCATGTGACAGTGAGACAGCTGGCTGCAGGAGGGTCGACCGTGAGGAAGAGAGTGAGAGCCAGAGAGAGAGAAGGAGCGTGAGTGACAGACAGTGAGTGCCTAACCCAGGGCTGGCTCCAAGAACAGACCAGCCACAAGAGAGAGGCACGTAGGGGTGCACCTGAGAGGAAGCATGGGGTTTTCTCCACCTTGAAAGCATTGTTGGGTGGAGAAAGGAGAAAAAATGGTTTAAATACCTTTGAATTCATGGCTTTTTGATTCGTAACTTTTCAATTTGTGATTTTCTGATTCATAACTGAGCTTCATTAAAACCACCTGGAAAAGTGGAACCAAGAACGACGAGAGAGATTCTGAGGTGCGTTTGGCCAGCCGCCAGGTCCTATTCACGTAGGAAGACGCACCGCCTATCAAAAAACCATGAACACACGTTACTTCTCCCACAGGGCCGAGCCAGAAAGGGAGTGACTTTCTGAAGGGACGCGAATTCCATGATGACGCTAGTGACAAAGGACACCGCACCTGAAGTGGCACTGGGCAGAACACATGAACAAACTAGGTGCCAAGCCTCCAACAGCACACGTGTCTGTCGGCAACCGTCTGTAAATTGCCAGGCTTGGGACCACAGAGCCCCAATACTGTGCATGCACACGCTGCAATACTTACAATTCCCCAACAACCCCTTCCCCTGTGACGCCTGACCCTGCGCTTACTCCTGCCCGCAGTGGGAAGCGGCAGTACCACACGCTCACATGGGGCGTCCTCTGCTCCCTTCCTGTAGTGCTGCAGCTTCGGGTGCTCCACTGTGATCCCTGACACTGTTACCCGGCCACAAGTGGGAAAGGATGTCACTCTTCAAGAGGGGTGTGTGTGGGGAGGCAAGGAGTGACATGAGGCCCTGTGGGAAGCAGAGTCACTGGCATTCACTGTCTCAGGATGTGCTCTGGGAGGCAGCACCTCATGTGCCTTCCCAGGTCAGCAAGAGCAAAACCGTATTAAATCAGAACAAGGGGTGAGGCCAGCTTGGGCTACAGAGGTGTGAGTTGGAGTGATTTTAAAGAAATGACTAGAATAGTATGGATTCAAATATTCTAAGTAAGGAATATGTTATATGTGAATTCAGATCCTGGACCCCCAAAAGACCCCTTATTGTTATTGTTGTGTGCCCTCAAGTCGGACCCAACTCATAGCGACCCCTCCTTGGGTTCTGAGGCAGTATCACTATGGAAGTAGATTGCCCCATCTTCCTTCCGAGGAGTGGCTGGTGGGTCTGAACTGCCAGTCTTTTGGTTAGCAGTCAAGTGCCTTAGGCACTATGCTACCAGAGCTCCCAAAAGACCCCTTAGACCTGGGTAATTAGACCCAGTGCCAACTGTACTCACACTTGAATCATATGGCATTAACTTCATAGACAGGCTGGCAAACCAGCCAACATCTTCCAATCAAAGTAATGCGTGACTCACCACAGCACTGTCCACCGCAGTCAGCAGGGGCACTACCCAAGTGTCCATCAGCAGGTGACAGACAGACACAATGTGGGGTCCATCCACAGTGAACTGTTACTCAGCCATAAAGAAGAATGTGGTCCTGATACAAGGTGCCCATGGGTAAACCCTGACAAGACCACGCTGAGCAAAATAAGTGAGATGCAGAAGGACAAACACTGTAGGAGCCGCTTACGTGAAACATCTAGAAGACACAAAGGGCCTGAGGCAGAAAGAAGACTGGGCGTCAGCAGAGACTGGGGAGGGGAATGGACGGTTACTGCTTCTTTCAGGGGGAGGGGAAGTTCAGGAAAGGCACAGTGGTGACTGCCATCAAGAATACTGCGGCAGGCAGGCACTGCCACCTGGGCCGGCAGTCATGACTGGGCATGGGGTGCCCCCAAGAGATGACACCACATCATGAAAGGGAACCCACAGAAGGCACTTGTGGCTGTCTGTACACCCAGCCCTGCAGTGAGGCCCCGCGTTGTGTTCTGAGGGACAACCTGGCCCTGCAGTGAGGCCCTGTGTCTTATCCTGAGAGGCAGCCCAGTACTGTAGTGATGCCCCATGTCCTGTCCCAAGGGACAGCCTGGCTCCTGCCATTGTCCTGGGCCCACCATCCCAGGACTCTGGAGTCAGACTTGGATTCTCAGGCAGGGACTCCATCTACAGGGATGCTGACCCCATCATTGCAAACACAACACCACTGCTGTCCACCCCCTATTCACAACCTGTCCCCACTAGCCTCCCCCAGCACAATCAGCACCATTCCTGTTCACCCCCAAAGCTGTGGTTACTTCAGACACTGACGTCCACCATGACACTGGTGACACAGGGCATGCCTAGTTCTGACACCGGCTCAGGGGCTGCTGCGCTGGATGCAAAAGGAGCCCCATAGGGCCCTCACTGATGACCACGACACCAGTGACACAGGGCCCTCACCGACAACTGCCTTGATACCGGTGACACTGCCCACCTGGCTCTGACACAGACTCATGGGCTGCTGCACTAGACGCAGAGGAGCCCCACTGAGCCCTCCTGAGAGGACAATGATGCCACACCAGCTGCAGAGATGGGCGTCAGGAGGGCCCAGTTCTGTGAGCTCCTTCCTGAGGCGTCCTAATCAGAGCCCAAGAGGGACAAAAGTGCCTACCACATGCAACAGCTCCCACAGAGGAGCAGGAACAAAGCTGACTTCTGGAGTGTCTCTTAAATTTTAAAGGTTACCTGAGGTCAAGTTTGTCATGGACTGAACTGTGTCCCCAAAAACATGCAGCCAATCCTCATCCCTAAGTCTGTGGGTGTGGCCCACCTGGGAACAGGAATATCTTTGTTATGCTAATGAGGCACCGTCAGTGCGGGATGTGTCAAAAGCCAATGATTTTTTGAAACAGAAAAAGAGCAAATGAGGCACAAAAGGACAAGTAAGAGGACAGATGTCACATGAACATCATCAAGGAACCAAGGACCAGCAGCTGAAACAGACAGAGTTCCCCTAAGTGGACTGAGAGCCTCTGCCAGAGCCAGTGCCCTGCATGCGACTTCGAGCCTCCTAACCGCCAGACAATAAACTAGTGTGTGTTCCAGCCCCCACTGTGGTATTTCTGTTACAGCAGTGCTACATCTACAACAGAAACAGAGCAGACGCTGAGGCCTACGAAGACCAGTTTACAAAAACAAAAGGAAATGCGTGGCTGTCGTGAAGCCAGCAAGACTCACACTTCTGATTCCTGTCCCGAGAATAGACCCTGGAGGTGGGACCGAGGGCTGTGGGGTGTGCAGTGAGGACATCCCTGCGCGCCGACAGCAGGCTGCAGTCGCTGCAAGTGTAGCCGTTGATGGTGGTGGCATCTGTTGCAGCACCGAGGTCACCGTTTCCCTGAACGGCAGCTTTACTTCCACCTAAGGCTTTCATGTAAAGAGATGAAACCCGGTTGTCACAGGCTGCAGGTTCCTCATGGGAACGATGAGCAGGGGCAGAAAGAGGGCAGGAGATTACCTTTAAGGTCGCTGTCATCGTCCAGACCTAAAAAACACACACAGTTCGCTGTTGAGTTCAACGAGTCAGAACAGGAGAGACGCCACTGAGGACGGAGTGAAGCAGAGGCTATAGGAGCTGAAGGGTCAGCTAATGGTGGTGTCAAGACCTCCCCCAACACCCAGGGTGCTGGGACTTACAGGGGCCACAAGGGCACTTTTACCCAAGGTGAAAGTACATCTCTGAGGAACATACATACATACACCTACACCCATGTGTGCACACCCACGCACACCGCAACATACCCCAGCCATACCCGTGCACACCCATGTGCACACTCACATGCGCATACACACAACAGATCGCCAGCCATATACCCACACAACCCATGTACGTATACACGCATACCCCAATATACCCAAAGCCATACGAGCACACCCATGTGCACACTCACGTGCATACACATGCACACCCCAACACCCCTGGCCATATACGTGCACCCATGCACACCTCAACACCCCCAGCCATACATGTGCACACTCGTGTATACACACACGCACATCCCAACATACCCCAGCCATACACCCATGCACACACCCACGTGCGTACACACACATACCTCAACATACCCTAGCCATACACGTGCACACCCATGTGTACACACATGCCCCAACATACCCCAGCCATACACGTGCACACCCCTGCGCACACCCACAGTTTGACTAACGAGGAAGAGGAGAGAGAAAAGCCTGTTCTCACTACTCCCACATGACAATCACAGCTCATTCAACTGTCGCTTGGTACTGCTCTCAGTAACTGAGCACAACAGTATGACCGAAACGCAAGTGCTTCCCAGAGTCGGCATACGCAAAACTCTGGGGCTAACCTGGATCCTCTTGTCTTCTCAGGAGGGCTGAGCAGACATAAACAAGCCCGAGGGAGCCGCTGTGCCTCACATGCCACATGTCCTATGCACGGCCTCCATGGCCACACAGGCTGAGCAGCGAGGATGCAGGTGCTACTGCTGTTGTCTAAAGCTCATGTCCTAGCTGTGCCATCACAACCTAGTGTCAACACTGCTACACTGTGATACTTTCTAGGGACTTTGCATGCCCCCATCCCAGCTGTCTTGGTGCCTAATGCTTCCTGGGACCAGAAATCACATGGGCAGATTTTCAGACTCTCGCTTGAACGCATTAGAAGAAAAGCATCAGATCACTCCCTGTTCCCTGTCTCTCACACCTGAAGAAAATCCAAACAACAGAATGCACCAGGGCTCTCTTGGATGACCATCCATTAGCATACAAAGGTGGCCATGGTGGAGGTCCCCTGTACTTGGCCTGGGAGCCCCGGTCTCTTACCAACCAGTGGGATCCAAAAGCAAGAACCACCTGGTGTGACTGCCTTGCTCCTCAGCAACAGGCCAGCTGGACAGGAAGCTGACTGCCCCACCCAAGGAGGGTGCTGGGATGCACAGTCACCCACTCACCCCAGAAGTGGTCCACCTGGGTCTGCTCCTGGATCAGGGATGCGTCCAGCACGGGGGGCCGGAAGGCTGTATTGCCCTGCAGGCTGCGGCAGCTACTCTGGCTTACAGCCGAACACGTTGCTGTTCTTGACATGTGGTTTATACTAAAAGCTGGTTTGCCTGCAGTTCTGCGCTGTTTTACTGTTCTAAAAAGACAGGAATGAGAAACAAACACAAACTTTTCCTAGTGAGCACAAAATAATTAGGTTTTATTAACACAAAATCTAGGGTGGGGAATACTAGGCACTTTTAGGCTAAGCATTTTCTCATGCCTCTTCCTCTGTGATGGAACATCCACTAATTGAAAGGGACTACCCTTAGACTGAGAACACAAAATGGTTCTCAGGTCATTGTGGGTGCCAAGACCCCAGAGCGGTTAAGACTGATTTAAAAATGGTTTGCAAACATGATTGATAGGTTTAACCCCCTCTCCCCCAACACTGTGCACACACAGGTCCAGAGTATTCCTCAATCATGGGCAAGGGCAGGACTGCCTTAAGGACGTATGCAAGGCAGGCTGGACACCACAGCGAGCCCCACATTCCTACTTAGCACACAGGACAGGCATACCTCAGACATGGGGAGTTTATTCCAGACCACACAATAAAGTGAGTGTGGCAAGAAAGCGAGTCACAGCACTTTTTTTTTTGGTAGTGCACAGAAGAGTCACGGTGACACTATACTGCAGTCTGCTGAGTGTGCAACAGCATGATGAAAAAGGTTGAAAAAGTGTAAGGAAGACCACAATGGAACACAGACATGAAGGGAGTACACAGTGTTGGAAAATTGGCACCAACAAACTTGCTCGACACAGGATTGCCACAAACCTTCACTCTGTAAGAAGTAAATTAGCTGCGAAGCTCAGAAACACGAGGAATGCCAGTATATACACAGAGCCTCACACACAGGTTCTGTGAGCACTTGACGTGAAGTCAGACAAAGGGTTGCAAAGGTGCATGAGGCAAGGTCCTTGGAGTCCCAGGACACCAGTTGTGGGTCGAGTGCAGAAGTACTGACACAAACAATGTGAAAAAAAGACCATGTGCAGCAGGGGCACGATTAGTGTGATGGGAACCAAGATGTCAGTGTTGCCTCACTACCACTTGGCAGTTCTAACCTGGTGCAGCACATTCAAAGCAACAGGGAACCCTCAGTTGTCACCCCAAACCTACAGAAACAGACTCACTCAGGGGAGGTCCAGGAGCCCACTTTTAACCACAGATCTCCCAGGTGAAGGTGGTCTGGGCCCGGGGCTCTCAGAGTGAAGATTTCGTTATTTTCTCCATCGCTTCTGAGCCCTGCACTCCAGGGAACAGCTGCTGCCCAGACTGGAAGCTGTCACTCCAAGGGAGCGCTAGCCATGGGAAGCTCTGCTTCCACTCCTTGTAACTATATAGCACAGTCACCCTTCCTGGCTGGAGAGCATGTGCAGGCTTGGAGACTATGCCCACTGTCACCCTTCCTGGGCACAGATATGGGGACCACATCCACCGTCACCCTTCCTGGACACAGAGCAGGTGCAGGCTTGGAGACTATGCCCATTGTCACCCTTCCTGGGTGCAGAGGAGGTGCAGATATGGAGACCACACCCACTCTCACCTTCTTGGGTACAGAGGAGCTCCAGAGATCAACATGGGAATCAAAAATACATGATAATATCTAAACTTTATCTCTGCATCTATTGGTTAATTGTCCTGGTGGCAGTGGTTAGTTTTGTCAAGTTAGCTCCAACTCATGGTCACCTTAAGTCCATCAGAACAAAATGCTACCCAGTTCTATCCCATGTTCCCAGATGCTGGTGTGTTAGAGCCTGTTGCTCAGCTAGGATGTCCAGCCATCTCATAGAGGGCTTCCTTGTCTTAGCTGACCCCCCATTTCACCAAATGTCACGTCCTTTTTGAGTGATTACTCTTTCCTGAGTCCAAAGTGAGTGAGCAGAAGTCTTGTCATCCTTGCTTCTGACAGGCACTCGTGCTTGTATTTCTTTTAAAACTGACATGGGTGTTGTTCTGACATCTCTGACAGCTTTGATATAATTTGCTGACACCACAGTTCGAACACATCAATTCTTCTGTCTTCTTTTTTCACGTACATGAGGTGTCTGGAAAGCCCATGGCTTGGGTCAGGAGCACCTTAGTCCTCAAAGTGACATCTTTACTTCGTAACACTTTAAACAGGTCTTTTGCATCACTTGATATTCTGACTGCTGCATCAATGGGTGTTGACTGTGGATCCAAGAAGAATGAAACTGTTGCCAACTTCAATTTTTCCTCCATTTATCTCAGTTCACTGGTCCGTTTGTGAGGACGTTCAATTTCTTCTGCTCAGGCACAATCCACATTTAACACACAGATGTAAAGTGTTAGTAGTGCAGAGACCACCTACAATACCATGTAATGATTTGGGTATGATTCCTTCCCCTTAAACATCTGGTAGGATAGCTGAAGTTATGAAGAACAGGCTTTCTAACCCATGAATGCTGGCTTGTGTGGCGTGTACCCACGTCACAAGGTGCCCGCTGGTTTTAAAGCACAAACAGAAAGAACCTACAAATCTTAACTTGCAGAACATGAGCAAAGACAATGCACAATGTTCCAGCATCAGTGCTGCCCACACTCAGTGGCTGTGACATTATACACACACACACACACACACACACAGCCTTCAGTTCAGGGAGTGCGGTGTGACAAACTAAGAGTCTGTGTTTGGCTTTGACCACAAGAGAAACGACCCCCTCAGGAAGACAGAGCAGAGCTGGGCTCACCTGGACACTCTGTCCTTCACAGAGGCAGAGCTCCTGGTGCAGGTGGGGTCCTCGGTGTCTGGGCCATCCCCTGCGTGGAATGCGGGGGTGATGAGGCGCAGACTCCGTCGGGACATTCTTGGGGAATCAAAGACAGGATCCAGTCTATGTTCGGTTTCAAAATCCAGCGCTTCAGAGGAATAGCTTGAGCTAGGAACAGAGGAAATGCATCAGAGACAGCCTTCAGTCTGGAGGTGAGGGAGATTGAGCGTAAGCTGTTGGGACGTTTAAAAGCAACAACTGTTGATTGTGGGGCAGTTTTACTATGAGGCAAAAGTAAGCTGGCACATAATCTGTTTAAGAAGACTCTTGCATCATATTTTATAAACATATTCTCAGAATCACATTCTTTATAAACGCGCTAGAGCTAAGATACCAGGAAATACACTCAGTCGAACCAAAATAAATGGACACAAAGTACTTCAAAGTGCCATATGCACTTAACGCGTACCATTTAGCTAAGAGGAAGGTTCCTGTCTTTACCCCAGACCAGGGGTGGTGAGAATACTCAGTGCACCAGCCCACACAGAATACTCCAGAAAGGACCCGACACTAGAAACACCTGACATCTAATCTCAAACATGGCTGGTTCCCCTTGAGGGTTTCAGGCATTTATGGTCTCAATTATGTTATTTCAGGCCAGGATTTCCTGTGTTGGTATGGACCAATCTAAGGTTGACTTTTTTTTTTTTTTTTTTAAATTGTGATTTAGGTGAAAGTTTACAGAGCAAATTCACTTTCCATACAGCAGTTCACACACACATTGTGTCATGACATTGACTATAATTTACCCCGATGCAACAGTTCCCCTCCCACTTCCTCCCAATAGTTACCTCTTCCCTGTGTCCATCCCTCCATGCACTCCTGTCCCCTGAACTGTCTCCCTGTGCATACACAGCCCTTTTTTCTCCCACGGAGTGTATCTACCTCAGGTACATATTCAATCTTTGGTTTTATTCATTCTTCTTTGCTCTGGACGAGGAGAGACCCATTGTTGCATCTAGACAGCTGCTTGCAAGCTTGTAAGAGCCCAGTCGCTACTTGCCAAAGTAGGAGGTGGAACAATGTTTTGTGTAGTATGTTATGTCAATTGAGCTTGATGTCCCCTGCAGCTATGGTCCCAAGCCAACAGGTTCAACTACTTGCTCCCTCTGGGTAGCCGGCTGTGACCAAGAAGTGACTACAACCTTGTCCCTTGTCAGCTCTACTATATCCCTGGGAATTCTTACAGAAATACAAATACACTTGTAGAACCACTGAAGGTTGACTATTTTTAACGTCTGCTCTTTACCCCCACTTCACCCTCTAAACTCCAGGCCTGGGTTCTAAGAGGAGCCATTATGAAGGAAGTGCATGTCACGAGAGTTCTGAATCCTGAGCCTGCTCCACTCTGCCCGTACCTCACCCAGCCTGACTGGGGAACCCTCTGTGAGTGTAGACACGCACGCCAGCTGGGGAACCCTCTGTGGGTGTAAACACGCACGCCAGCTGGGGAACCCTGTGGGTCCAGATACGCACACACATCAAAGGAAAACATCCAGCAGTAGCTGCCACACAGGACTCTGCCCCTACCCCCAGTGTGACCTTCCTTAGGTCTGACTCAGGGATGCTACAACACAGCTGCCAAGCCTGATGTGGTCCTGGCTCTCTTACCCAAACCTTGACGGCCTTGTACCCTCAGAAAGATGGTCCAAGTCTTACTAGTTCAGTCAGAAAGAGCATTCCTGGGAAGACAGGTGCAGAGAGGACCGTCTGCTGCACCACTGTTTACAGTAGGAAAGGGCAGGGAAGTGCCTGTCACAGGAGACTGGTTAAACAAACCAGGATGTACTTATCACAGAACATCACAGAACGCTGGGAGGCCACTCAGAACACAAAAGGACCATCCAAGAGTGTCACAGAAAGACCTCCCAGATATGCTGCCAAAGAGGAAAAAGCAACAAACTCTAGCACCACCCTGTTTAGGTTAAAACAAACTGAAAAATAACCCCCAAGTTCTGACACATAGCTGTGTACAACATACACAGGTCTGGCCAGTTCTGTGAATGGGTGACAGCGGTGACTCAGGAATTGAAAGATGGGGGGCACAGGTACTTTTACTTTTTGCTGGAGAGCACCGGACTTTTCCATCATTAACATACTACTGGGGGGTAGGGATAAGAAGTAGAGAAGAAGGGACCCAGGACCCAAGGCTCTGACTCCATGACCTGACCGTCCAGTCCCAGTTCTTCCAGAGGTCACTCATGGCTTAGAGGCGGTGCTTATCTGGCAGAGTGGATGACCTCCCAGGTCTCCTCCAACCCCACACCCAGGTTCCAGCAGGCCCACGGCTTAGGGCAGGGCACCCAACATGGTCCCACCAAGAACACCAGTGAAGGATCCACGTGTGCTGAGCTGGGCATGACATCTCCATCAGGCATCTCACCACATTTCTATGAACTGTTCAGGGGAGAAGGGCCCAACCCAGGATTAGTGAGGATAAAATGACATAGATAGGAGCTAAAAAAGGATGATGTAGACAAAGACCCTGAATAGCATGCAACTTTATTTCCTGTTTGTTATACAATGTTCTTTTAAAAATTTATTTACATGTACTTTCTATAAAAAGGACCTCTGGTGGCATAGTGGGTAAGGCATTTGGCTGCTAACCAGGTCAGTGGTTCAAACCCACCAGCTGCTCTGCAGGAAGATGAGGCAATCAATTTCCGTAGATTTACAGCCATGGAAACCCTATGGGGGTCACTATAAGCTGGAATCAACTTGGTGGCAGTTAATCTTTGGCTTTTTTCTATAAAAAGATGGGAAGAAAATCTATCACAACTGAACCCCAGAAGCACAGATCTGAGGCATCAGTAAGTTATTGTTTCCAGATGAAAGGCCCCAGGAAGAATCATGCTCTCTGGTCTCAAGGGGCCATCGGAGAGTCAAGTGCCTCTGTCTGTCAACACAGGGTCCGGCTGCCTCTGCTGCTGCCACACCATGTGCAGGGTCATCCAAACACCGGGCCTGCTGCAGAGCCAACGTGTTGGTAACTGTTGAAGTGGGGGGTACTGTGTGCTGGTAACTGTCGAGGTGGGGGGGCATCACATGTAGATAACTGTCGAGGTGGGGGCACCACACATTGTTAACTGTTGAGGTGGGGGCCCCCCTGAGCATTGGCAACTGTTGAGGTAGGGCGGCACTGCACATTAGTAATTGTAGAGGTGGCGGGCACTGCACACGTAACCATTGAGGTGTGGGTGCCCTGTGCATTGGTAACTGTTGAGGTGGCGGGTCCCCTGAGCATTGATAACTGTCAAGGCAGGGGGCACTGTGCACTGGTAACTGCTGATGGGGGTTCCTTGGCCTTTGAAAGACCTTACTCCCAGGAGAGCTTACAAAGCACATCTCATTAGCACTGTCTCCTCCACTGTCTTGCGTCTTGGGACACCTTCCCAGCTCTCTGCCCCTAGACCACCATCTTCTCCATGAAGAAGGGCTGTGACTGTTTGCTGACACAAGAGTCCCTTTGCCAGTCACCCAGGTTGTGTAATACTGAGGCTTCATGTCAATCATCCTATGTGGTAAGGGGAGAGGTTAGCCAGTAACGTCCACAAGGCAAACCCCAGGCTCCGTGTGTCAGAGTGTGAGCAGAGTGCGTGCCAGTTCTGGACAGCCTCGGCTTCGTCAAAACCTGTCCTAGGACGCCTCCTGCCCTTCTGTGGAGCACTGACAGGAATCACAGAGCAGCACCCAGAACCACACAGATTGTTCTGGAGATCACAGCCAGCCTGGGTGGGGTCTGACGGCAATTCCTGTGTACTGACTAAGCTCTGAGTCACCAGGCTAAGCCAGTTCTCAAAATAACTCGCACACTCAAGTCAGGTTACAAGTCCAGCGTGAAGGCACGGCGTGTACACAGCTCAGCTGTCTCCACTGGGACAGCGTGAGGGGTGAAGCCACGGCATGTACACAGCTCTCTCCATTGGTACAGTGTGAGGGGTGAAGCCACAGCGTGTACACAGCTCTCTCCATTGGTACAGTGCGAGGGGTGAAGCTACGGCGTGTACATGGCTCTCTCCACTGGGACAGAGTGAGGCTGAGCTGTAGGCACGGTCCACCCACCCACTCGCACACGCTCACCTGAGTGCGTACGTGTAGCCAGTGTTCTCTGGCACACACTGAGGAGGGGTGTACATGTGGAGCCGAGAGAAGTCCATGTCCACGATCTCAGATCATACTGCAGAAGGCGGAGAGAAAAGGAAGGCAGGGTTTTAAAAGGGTTAGAAAACGCACAGAGAAGTCAACCACGCTTCATGCTAAGACTGCTGAAAACATCACTGCCGAAGCGTTTGCACAACAGAGCCACTGTGGTAGCTTTGTTTTCACGTCTTATGGGAAACAATTTTCTCATACTGTGAGTCCACAGGCATCTTTGCTACACTCCACAGAAAAGCAACAAGGGGCGATGCTAGGTTGGGGTTGCGATGAGTCGGAATTGACTCGATGGCAATGGGTATAATTATGAACATCAGGGTAACTCAGAACCCCTTTTCAAAACATATTCTTAAATTCCTGAAGGGGTCAAAATGCTCTCCTTCCAAAATGTGGTCCACCCACACGATGGACTATCGCTCAGCCATAAGGAGAAATGAAGTCCTGGTCCATGTTACCCATGGGTGAACCTTGGAGACATGATGCTGTGTGAGAAAAGGCAGGTGTAGGAAACATACCGTCTGACCCCAGTTATGTGAAACGACTCCAACAGGCAAAGGGTGGAGACCCAAGTTTACTGGTGGTGCCTGGGCCAGAGGGAGAGGAAAGGAGAAACCACATTTAGGAAGCAGGGAATCTGCGGACAGGTCTGGTGACGATTATTGGTGGTGGTGGTGGTGGCCCAAAATGACTGAATCACTGACTAAACTGTACACAGGAAACATGCTGAACTGGTAAAGGGTATGTAATGTATGTTTCCACAACAATGGAGAGAAGAATAATATTGATGGCAGGTGAAAGTAAAGACGTCCATGTCCTGCAAAGACCCTCCCTCTGTGGCCTCAGTCAGTCAGCCCTGTGGGAACTCCCAGACAGCAGGCGCTTTCTCCACAAGCGCCTCAGAACAGAAGATAGGCTGCAGGAGACCACACTGATTTTTTTTTTTAAATGAAAGCGTGTTGTGCATTTGTTTCCCAGGTTGCCATGGAGCGTTCTTTAGTGACTAAAACCTTCCTAGGGCTAAAAATACTCCTACACCCGCCCATGTTTAAAAAAATATCCCTCACACGCCCAAGTTCTGAAACACACTCCTGTTCAGGCTAAAAAAGAGCGAAAAGACAAAAGCCCTTGCAGTAGGGATATGAATCATGTAAGTTGATAAAACTAGAAGTAAAGGGCATCTGGACAAAACCTGCAGACAAGTGTCTGCAGTTCTGTGAAGTAACCCTAAAGCCCACCAACCCACACTGGTTCTCTGAAAGCAATCGCCTGCTATTCTTTTAAAAATCAAGCACTCACAGAAAGACCACTGTTTATATAGGAAAACCGTACTCAGCAACTAATTCCAACAGAAAATAAAAACCTCTTCAGTTTAGAAAACATTCTAAAAAATCTTCCGGTCTCCTCAGGGCCACCAGGTCCGCCAATCCTCCCCTAGGACAACATCCAACAAGTACAACGTGTTCTTATCCTGCTTCACTAGGATGTATACGGAAACCTCTCGTTGCATATAAACCACTTCTGACGGCGATTAACGCCCGTCCACTGTCAGCAAACTTACACGAGATCCCATGACACAAAGTGAAGGACAAAGCTCCTGCCGTCATGCATGCACATGTGTGCTGCTGGCTGCCTGGAGCTCACTTTGCAGGTTGCCTCTCTCAGGTGCCCCCTGCCCTCACCCCGTCCACCTGCTGCCCCTTTCCCACTCCCATCACCACCTGTCTCCTCCCTCTGCCTGCTCCCTGCTCTCACCCCCTCCCCACTTCCACCCCCACCTGTCTCCTCCCTCACCTGCCCCCAGCCTCTGTCCCCTCCCCATTCCCATCCCTTCCTGTCTCCTCCCTCAGCTGCCCCTCCCTCTGCCTGCTCCCTCATCTCACCCCCTCCACCTGCCGCCCCTCCCCACTCCCACTCCTTCCCTGCTCAAGCCCCCACCTATCTCCTCCCTCAGCTGCTCCCTGCCCCTCCCTGCTCTCACCCCCCTCCACCCTCTGTCCCCCCCCCCCCCCCCCCCCCCCACCTGTCTCCTCCCTCAGCTGCCCCTACCCTCTGCCTGCTCCCTGCTCCTTCCTGCCCTCACTCCACCTGCCCCCTCACCCTCCCACACACTTATCACCTAGCCAGCCTCTCTCCCTGTTTAAATCTCCTTATTGTTCCCCTGCTGACTCTCTGCCATAACCAGCTTCCTATCTGCAACTCTGCACTAGATCTGCACTGGCCCGGCTTACTAGGTGAAAATGGCCATCCCCTCAGTGGTTTCCATCCATGGTCAGTGGCCTGGATGGGGACCCAGAGGGTTGCACAAGTGAGTGCCTCCAGTCAGAAGCCTCTGGGCTGCGTGGGGTCTGACTGCAGCCCTGACTCGAGCAGTACTGATGTAGGACCCCAGAAATGGGTGAAACTCCTGAGACCTTGGAGAACATGGGCAACAGTTGACAAATAGGGATGCTGCTGCCAGCTTCACTACCCCTGCCATCAGGCATCCCATGAGGCAAACAGCTGCCCCCTGTCACTGGGCCAGTGAAGGACCCACAGCAACACCTCAGGGGGTTCAAACTTTGCTCCCGGACTTAGGAATTACAGTGAACATCGAAGACAAAGCTTTCTAGCAGGGCTTTGAAATTAGATGTCAAGTCTCCTTAAACTACACTGGGTCCTCCACACATACGTAATGTCTGTTACACAACAAAGACACAAACCCCAAGGTCTCTGTCTCTCCAGGATGCTTTTCCATCCAACCCTCACATAATCTGAATGTTTACTATTTAGGATGTCTGTACTAATCCACCACAATCCTGGAAAATACCCAAAATTACCAGTCCCACAGGATTTAAAAACAGAGCTTTAAGCAAAGGGTCAAAATAAAGCTAGAACATTCTGGAGTCAAAGTGGCTGCACCCAGCCCTGCTGGCAGTCCCACAGGAAACCTGGGAGCAGGCTCGTTCTCCAGACCGGCCTGCTCCCTTCCCTCTACAAACCCAAGCATCACCTGATGGAGAAAAACGAGGAACTTGCCTCAAAGTACCAGCAGGATCATAAGGACTACAGTAAGATAAAACCCCACTTTTCTATGAACTGACTTAGTCATGGGCCATGTGAATCGAGACCAAGAGTGAGCTTGACCCGCAGCAGGGGGCAGCTGGGCTGGGACAGGAAGGGCTCGGAACAGCCCACCACAGCCATGGACCTCCTCCAGCGGCCAGCTGACCCACGGTGAGTCCCAGGCTCTCAGGATAAAGCTGATATCTCAGCCACAACTGGTTCCCAGAGAACACAGACGAGTCTGTCTGCTACAGTCTAGGGGACTGTCACCAGGTGACACCTCTTGTGACAAGCCTGGCTGGCAGCAAGGCCTAAAAGCCACACACCTGATGAGGGGCCTTCTAAGGTGACAGGGATCCAGTCCACACCGCAGCCCCAAAATGGCTTCCGACTGCCACAAAGCTGGGCCCAGGAATTCGATAGCTTGCTGGGCGGTGCTGTTAGCAGCTGCAGGGCGGATTGGACAGCAGGCTAAGACACACAGTTAACCTGTTAGTTCCCTAACAAGCTCTCCAGGGAGTCTGGGGATGCGAACCAGCAAGTTCTCTCACGACTTGCCTGTTCCAATGAACTGAAATGAGCACTAAGCTAAGGTCAGCTCTGATTAGATCCCAAGCCTGTCACAACTCACAACACAGAGACTAATAAAGATACTCATATTCTGCCCACAGGAAAAAACAAGGCAAATTGGATTAGGAATAAATGTTTTCCAAAGATTGTACCCAGTGCACTAACTTCCACAACATAATAAACAAGACCATCAGCTTCCATCTTGAACACCATCTGGAGAAAGAAAAACAATCCTGGTTTATGAAGAACCATTTCTACAAAGAGATGGTGCTGATCGTTTCTAAGGGCCAATAAGAACCAAAAACATAACCTACAGATACGGGGAAGGAGCCTCACGGATGCCACGTCATACAAACACATATAACACCACACACACTTGAAAATAAACTCACAAACCTAGGAAACAGTAAATTCTGGGCATGGACAGCTACTTCTCATTTCACCCCTTAAGTTCTGTTGGATAGTTTTTTTTTTTAAAGGCAGGCACTTGTTTAGCTCGGCAGTGCTGTTATGGGGACCCAGGCAGCACTGAACTGAGGGCCATGAGCACCTGGTGAGCAGAGGCAGCTGGTCCTGGCAGCAGTAGGGAGGCCACTCCCATCTCAGACCACGTAATGGAGCCAGGCTTCCTCACTTTTCTTGCAAAGGACAAAACAACAGTGTGGTGCAGTGGATTACTTGGTGTGGCCTTTGTAGCCACAGTCTTTGTAACTTCCACCAGATTCCTGGGTTGTTGTTGTTGTTGTTATTTGCCATCAAGTCGGCCACCCCTCCTTGGGTTTCCGAGGCAGTATCACTACGGAAGTAGGA